TGCAAGATGGGAGAAGAATGACAATAATTTGTTTAAAAATATCTTGGGGAATTTATAAAAATAAGAGTCATTTTGCAGTTGATAAATGGCCAAAGGATATGAACAGGTAGTTTTCAGAAGAAGTCAAAGCTGTCCATAATCATATGAAAAAATGCTTTAAATCCCTATTGATTAAAGAAATGCAAATTAAAACAGCTCTCAGGTACCACCTCACACCTATCAGACTGGCTAACATGACAGAAAAGGAAAAGGACCAGTGCTGGAGCGGATGTGGAAGAATGGGACACTAATGCACTGTTGGTCGAGTTATGAATGGCCCAACCATTCAGTTTGGCACTATGCCCAAAGGGCTATAAAACTGTGCATACCCATTGACCCAGCAATACTACTACTAAGTTTGTATCCCAAAGAGATCAGAGGAAAAGGAAAAGAATCCATATTTACAAAAATATTTATAACAACTCTTTTTTTGGTGGCAAAGAATTAGAAACTGAGGGGATACCCATCAATTGGGGAATGGCTGAACTAGTTATGGTATGTGAATGTGATCTAATACTTTTGTGCTATAAGACATGGCTGGAAGGGGTAGGGGGAAAGATTGTTTCAGAGAAACCTGGAAAGACTTATCTGAACTGATTAAAAAAAGTGAAGTGAGCAGAACCAGAAACATTGTACACAGTAACAGCAATATTGTAAAGATCAACTGCAAAAGACTTAGCTACTCTATCAAGATAATGATCCAAGCCAATTCCAAAGGACTCATGATGAAAAATGCTATACACCTCTAGATAGAGTTGATGAACAGATTAAAGTACAGATTAAAGCATATTGTTTTTATTTTATTTTTCTTGCTTTTTTTTTGTAATATGGCTGATATAGAAATATGTTCTGCATGATTTCAAATTGTGAGATGCAGCTGCAAAAAGGTAAATGTGATCTTGGGCTTCATTAAGAGAGACATAGTTTCTAAGAATGAATAGGTGAGAGTCCTTCCGCACTCTGCCCTGTTCAGACCACATCTAGAATATTATGTTCTATTCACCACAGTTTAAGAAGGACATTGATAAAGTGGAGAGTATCCAGCAGAAGAAAACTATGCTGGTTAAGAGTTTTGAGTTAATATCATATCAGGATCAAGAGAAGGAACTAAGGGTGTTTAGCTTGGAAAAAAGCCCAAGTAGGACCTGATAGCTGTCTAAGTGTTTGCAGGGCTTTTGAATGGAGAAGATCAGACCTGTTCTGTTTGGTCCTGGAGGTCAGAACCTGGAGCAAAAGGTGGAGGTTGCAAAGAAGTCAATTTAGGTTTGACATCAGAAAAAAAAATCCCCAATAATTAGAGCTGTTCAAAAGTAGAATATCTTAACTTTGAATGCAAATGAGTATTTTCTGTCCTTATATGAATCTAGGCACCCATTTTAGAGGCAGAGATTATTAAGATTACTCAGTTAAATTTCTGGTTACCATTCTTTTTTTTTTTTGGCTAGGCAACAGGGTTAAGTGACTTGCCCAGGGTCACACCCCTAGTGAGTGTCAAGTGTCTGAGGCTGTATTTGAACTCAGGTCTTCCTGAATCCAGGGCCAGTACTCTGTCTACTGTACTATCTAGCTGCCCCATGGTTACTACTCTTAATTCATTCACCTAATGAAAAGCCTTTTTGTCCTTGACCTATCATCTGCCTTTCCAAAGGGCTTTTCTCAGGAGTTTGAAGGACTTTAGAGGAAAATATTATTTCTGAATATTTCTAGAGAAACAAAAGGAGCTTTTAAATATGCTTCTGCATAGGGCTGTTATATTTATTTTTGTGATACCCCCTCTTGTTGAGTGTAGTAGGCATAAATAATAAACAGTTGTTGAATTGTTGAATGCATTTTAGAGATCATCTATTACTTTACAGATCAGGAAAATGAGACCCTAAAGAGATTAAACACTCTCAATGATTTGCTACTTAGGGATCTTTCCCCTACTTTTCTCAGCTCTGCCTCACTTAAATCCAATTCACCTGAAAGTCATGACATCACCCTCACTGCATCATTGATCCTCTTGGAGAAGGAAGGATGAACACTAATGAAGAAGAACTTCATGGCTAAGCCAGTGTAATCAAATAGCTTTGGCATAGATAGAGAAAATGCCGAACAATAGAAAACAGTTGTGACAAAGCAAGGCAGATAGTTTCTTACCACTTGCCTCCTTTTTGTCTTTCTATAGGCAAAATACTATTCACAGAAACTCCTGTACTGCAAGCATCATTGGAGATTTCTAAGTTTAGTCTACAATGAGCAATGTACACATTTTTATTATCATACAAGTTTCTTTGATAAATGCAACCACAGAGATAACTTAATTCAATTGTCCTTTGACTAGCAGTACTAAGTACAGCATAAAACAAGAATATTTATATATATATATATACATATGTACACATACATACACACATGTAGTGTATATATGTATGTGTGTATATATCTACATATATGTATATATCTATATGTGTATATGTGTATGTATGTGTGCTTGCCAAAGGTGTTCACTCTTGTCAAGGAAGATGTCCTGAGCAAAGTTCAAAAGGAAGGATTCCATATAAATAACTGTTGTTGAATCATTTCAAATAAGTGTAGACAAGCTATGTCCAAGAAAAATTTGTTGCTGTTCAGTCATTTTTCAGTTGTATCCAACTCTTTGTGACCTAGTTTGGGGTTTTCTTGACAAAGATACTGGAGTGGTTTGTCATCTCCTTTTGTAGCTCATTTTACAGATGAAGAAACTGAGTTAAGTGACTTGCCCAGGATCACACAGCTAGTCAGGGTCAGGGGCAAGATTTGAAACTCAAGATGGGTTTGCCTGACTTCCTGAAACTCTATCCACTGCACCATCTGGCTGCTTTCCTAATAGATGGAAAGGTTCTCCAAATGCTCTTATTTGGGTGTGACATCGTGCTTATTTGATTCATCAATAGATAAGCATCTAAGGCCAGGAATGCTGCAGGACCTCCCAAATGAAATCTATAGGAACTCAAGAAATTTATCTAATAAACTGTACAGGAAAGACCAAGGGGCTGAAGACTCTATAATCTAAAGATTATGATTATGATAGTTTGACACAAATTTTGAAGTATAACAAAACTGTATGAATGTCGATGGACAGTCCACTTAACTCAGCGAGCATGTGGGCTGCTGTGCTAAGCTCTGGAGATACAAAAATAAAAACGGTCTCTGCCCTCAAACAAGTAAACAGTTTACAAGATATTTTTAGGAGGGAGTAAGAGCTAACCATGACGAAGGGGTGTGTGTGGGGTGTGGGGTTTGGGGTTGGTCAGTAAAGGCTACCTAGTTCATAGGACCATAGAGTTAGAGCTAGAAGAACTTTAAAAGTAATCTAGTTTATTTTATTTTTCTTTATTTCCTCATTTTTAGTTAGTCCTAGGCATCTGAAAGATGACTAATATGTACAACTAATACGTAACAAGTAAGGAGCTATAAAACGAGGGGCTGCTCAGATGAAATAATCTATGAGGGGGCTAGGTGGTACAGTGGATAGAGCGCTGGACCTGAAGTCTGAAAGGCTTCCACTCAATTCTTGCTTCCCACACCTACTAGCTGTGTGACCCTGGGTATGTCATTTAACCTCTAACTCAATTTACTCATCTGTTAAATGGGGATAATAATAGCACCCAACTCCTACGATTGTTTGTGAGGAGCAAATAAGACATTTGTAAACTGCTTCACAAACCTTAAAGTGCTATCATTATTATTGTTAGTTTCCTTACTAGCTCTAAAATTCTGTTGTTCTAGGAATCTATGATGTTGTTTTACTAGTAAATTTCTCAATAATGCTGAAGATGACCCAAACAAGGAACGAATTTAGAAGAGCGTAGTTCTGAAATTTGTTGTTGTTCAGTTGTTTCAGTCAGGTCCGACTCTGTGACCCCATTTGGGGTTTTCTAGGCAAAGATACTGGAGTTGTTTGCCATTGCCTTCTCCACCTTATTTTGCAGATGTGGAAACAGGAAAACAGAAGGTTAAGTCACTTGCAGTGTCACACAGCTATTATCTCGGGCAAAATTTGAACTCAGGTCGTATTTATGCCAGCCACACAGCTCTGTCCATTGTGCCATAAGCATGCATGGATTTTGGTTCAGAGGACCTGGGGCCAAATTCTGGTCCTGTTTGCTAGCTGTGTTGACACTGAGCAGAAATTTAACTTTTCTGGCCCTCAGTTTCTTCATCTCTAAAATAAAGGTGGCGGATTAGATCAGGGGTTTTTAACCTGTGGTTTGTGAACTTGCTTTTAAAAAAATATTTTGATAAACGCATTTCAACATAGTTGGTTTCTTTCGCAATACTGTGTATTTTGTTTTATGCATTTAAAAACATTATTTTGAGAAGGGATCCAAAGCTGCACCAGGGTTGGGGTACGGAGGGGAGAAAGACACACACACACACACACACAAATGGTTAAAAATTCCTGGTCTGGGTCTTATAGGATCCCTTCGAGCTTAAAAGCCTACAGGGGCTGTACGAGGTCCGTCTCAATCCTTCTCCAGCCGCCACAATGGACTAAAGCTGTCGGCCAAGCGGCAGTCGCTACCCCTGTCCCTACTGCAGAGCTTGGTACCACCCCTGCGCTCTCCTCCCTCATTCGATTTCCTCATTTAGGACGCACCCCTTCCGACCCGAACCAAAACCCTCACTCCGAGCATTCCAGGAGCACACCCAAAGCCGTCCAGGCGCGCCTCGGACTCTTTCCTCCTAACTCGTTACGCCCCTACCCCCTGCTTTGTTTATTTCTCCTGCCCCCGCCCCCTTCCCAGTCGAACAACAGACGGCTCGTACTGGGCAAGCGCAGGAACGCTGCGCATGCTCCCCAACCACGATTTTTTTTTTTTAAGGTGGGGGGAGGGGAGGCACGAGCCGGGTCTCTAGCTGCTGCAATCTGTTGCGCCTGTTCCGCGAGCCGGCAGATCCGGGTCTCGTGGCCAGGAGTGACGTGGTCAATCAAAACAGAGGAGGAGGAGGAAGGAGGTGGCGGCGGCTTCGGTGGTAGCTGCCGCGATCGCAGCATCAGCATCAGCAGCGGTTTTGGGGGGCTCGGGACTTCGTCTGTCTTTCGTTCCAGCTCCTCCTTAGCCTGTTTGTTGTCCCGGGCGGGTGAGTCTTGACCCCGGTGCCCGCACCACTTCGGCCACCGTTTGAGGCCCCCGGCGCCCCCCGCTCCCGTGCCCCCTCCCCCTCTTCCTCTCCTTACCGTCTCCCCCGCAGCCCAGGCTTTCTGAGCGGCTGCAGCTGCAGCACCAGCGCCAGCGGCAGTGGCAGTGGCAGTGGCGGCGGCCTCCAGCTGTGCGGCTCCAGCTGTGCAGCTTCAGCTGCTCGCAGGGGGCTGGGAGAGAAAGCCTCGGGCGCCCCGCTGGGCCCCGGGCTTCTCGGTTTGGCTTTCTTTCTCCGGGAGGAGTCTCGGGCCAGGGAAAGTGTTTCAGTAAATAGGCGGTGATTTTATTTTTAGGGTTAAGATGAACAGCTGTCTCTCTGTGAGTATGGGTGCGATAGTTTAGGCCGGAGAAAGAGGAAAAGGTGGAAGATAAGGGGGAAAAAGGTATAAACGCCCCCCCAAAAACCCAACCCCAAACCCAGAAATCCCAGTGGGAGTCTTTTGCCACAGCCCCCCCTTTCCATTGCTGGGTGGGATTCCTTTGTTGTGATTTTATTGGAGACGAACGTCGTCTCTCTTCGTCTCCCTTTTAAAATTCTCTCCCCTCCTTCCTTTTATACGAAGACCGTGGGGCACCAAATGTATTGTAAATCCGAACATCCCAATTTTCCTTTTGGTTTGATAAATGTGACCCTATTGCAACGTCCTTGTCTTTTGAGGGAATTGAATGCTGCTGCTAAAAAGCTCATCTTGCTGCTAGAACAATGACATTTTTTCCCGAAAGTGGGGTGTCTTCTAAACCTCATTTAATCTTGGCAGAAAAAAATGATGGTTTATTAGCTGTAGAGGCTAGAGGGGGGATTTCGGTTATTTTAGTTGCAATAGAGGATGTTGCCTCCGAATAGCAGAAATTGTGTTTCTTAAAGCTGGGTTCTTTTTGACTATCCTTGCAGCTTTTCTTTGATTGTCTGATTAGCTTCAAATGAGATAGTATCTCCTTTTCAGTAATATGATTTGGTCAGTGCTTTTACTAGTACAAGTGATAGATCAGGCTTACCAGATGTACTCCGTAATGTGAGGTCAGTCAATGAGCATTTATTTAAATTCAATTTTATTTAATTTTAATTTTGAACCCTCCTTCCAAATCCTTCCTTTCCATCCTTTGAGAATGCAAGAAAAAAACATTATAATAAGCATTTATTAATGGTCTACCGTGTGCCGGGCGTTTTGCTAAGTGCTAAGGATAGAAAGAAAGTAACAAACACCTGGCTGAACTGCTTTGGACTCCATCGTGCCCTCCAGGAGCCACATCATCAGGAAACTTTTCATTCCTCTCGGATTTTGATGCCCTTGGTACTCACTTCTCATCAGTATCCTCTGTCCCTCTGATTGGAAGGCGAGAGGAGAGCAAAGAGTTGCTCTCAAAACTCCTGTGAGGAAGGCTCCCAGGTCAGCCATTTCTTCATTTCCCATCCTATTGCACTCCTTTGGACTCCGAAGTCCCCCTTTCATCTTCCTTTTTGGTGTTGTCTTCTCCCATTGGAGTATATAAGCTCATTTGAGGGAGAGAGTAGTGCCTGACACATAGGAGGAGCTTAATAGATGTTTATTGACTGATAAAAACAAGCCCTGTCCTTTCTAATGGAGGAGACACCATGCTAACAGCTATGTATAATCAGGATAAATTGGAGGTAGTTTGACTGGGAGTGGGAGGAGATATGAGACCATCCAAAAGGCTAATGCAGTAGTTCACGCCTAGAGATGAGGGTCTGCCCCAGGATTAAGGTGGGAAAGGAGGAAGATAATTCATCTCTCTTGGTGGGCTCCCATTCTCTAGCTTTCTATCAGTGTATTTATGGGTTCTGTTTCCTGTTGGTTCCCAGTGTTACACATGGTTGTGGTCTTCACCTCCAGATCCCCAGACCACAGAAGTCCCAAGACTGGATCCTGTCCCTTTGTGACCCTAACTTATTCAGGAGAGGCTCTATTACTAACCCAGTACTAAGACCTTCTTTGTTGTATTTTCCCAAAAGACAAAGGGCTAACATTCTCAAAAAAAGCTTTCTAGTCTGTTTGTTTGCCACTGTATTCTTGTAGTTAACAAAGAGAAATGGGGACAAAGTGGAAAAACAGTAAGATGTGTATTAAATCCAAGAAGAGATAATTCAATAGGTGACCTGAAGGGTATATTATAGAATGGTGAACCATGGGTCCTTTTAATTGGCTTTAGAGTGAGCTTATGAGATCTTTACAGACCCTTTGTGTTTCCAGGATTTCAGTTTGAATCCTTATCTAGACATAGGAATATATTACTTTTTTTATGTAAGAAGAAAATTTGATTTTTGATTGGTAAGGAATGGTGGAATTCAATACCTTTTTAAACTCTTTCATAATTTTATGCTGAAACGTCATCTAAGTGCTTTAGCCTTCCTTTTCAGGCATAGCCTTCAATATTTGATCTAATGACTCAATAGGTAAAAAAGTAACCCAGACAGATTTACTTCCAGTTTCATTGTTATCTTGAGTAAATTCTTGGTCTCTTAACTGAACAAGTTTAGATAGACAACCATCTTAGAAAAGCAACACAAAAAACTTACCTGTTAACACTCGGTCTTGGGAAGAGAAGTTTGCTGCACAGCATCATATGGAGATGTTGTTGGCCCAGTGTAGTAGCTGTCAGCACCAAGGAGCATGTCCTCTCTGATGTCTACCAGAGAGGTTAGGGATGTAACCCCAAACAGTTTGACATATCTGTTGTACATTTATGAAAACCTTTGTTCTGTATTTTCAACCTGTGTTTTTGTGATAATGTGTTTTAGAAGTTTATGGATTTTGTGTATAAGCCCTTCTGATTGAAGCTTCCTTTATGTCAGTCTTTAAAGGGGTGCCCTTTGTTCTAGTACTTTGAGATTTGGTACTAGTCTGAATTTATCTTAACCAAATTGTTTTTATCCTTTCTCAGCCTTCATTTCTCCAGATTGAAGAGTTCTAATCTTTTAAATATATTCTTATGTGGTAGACCTCTGATTCCCTGAATCAACATAGTTGCTTTTCTCTGGATGGTTCCTGGTTGCATTGTATCTTTTATGTAAAGGAATGTGCAGGGTATTTAGTGTAACATGTACACATTTTAATGTAAAGATAAGATTAAAGAATCATGGTTTTAGTTGGAAGGGCCCTTAGAGATGATCCTGTCCAACACCTTCATTTTACAAATGAGGAAGTTGAGACCCAGAGAGATGAAGCAGCTAGTCTGAGGTTTCACTGGCACTATAATGTGGCAGAATCATTTTCCCAGTTCCAAGGACAGAGCTATTTCCATTGTTCCATGTTTTCTTTTATTTGCTTGTAACATTTCTCTTAATATTGCCCAGGATTTGACTGGGACTTCTTGTCTCCCTAGCCATTTAGAACAATTTGCAGTAACTTCCATGTCTATTTTCTGCGTTAGAGCTGATGGAATTCGTCATCTTCTATCTATGGTTCAGCTCCTTTTCATTAAAAAAAAAAAAAGTATTGATGCCATTTTGTTTTTTACATGGATCATTTTTGGATATAATTTCTTTTCCTAACCATGAACTTTCCCTTTTAACAAAGGTTCATGCAACGAGTCAACACCTCTACTGCTCTACCTTTCCAGCAAGTAGAGGGAGGTACATTTTTATCATTCTTTCTCTAGGACAGACATTGGTCTTAATTTATTTTGTATCAGTTTATACAAATCTCATGCTTATCTGAATTCCTTATTCATCATTTTTTATGCCATAATTATTTTGTTACATCATATACTATTGCTTTGCCCAGCCTCATTTGATGACTGACCATTTTGTCTGCAGTTTTTTGCTACTGCAAAAAAGGGCTTCTATTTTTGTTTTGTTCTGTATTGGAGCTATATGGCAGTCGATGTCCTGGGATTATAGGTCATTTGGTCAGAGGATAAGAACTGTTTAATGACTTTATTTGAATAATCACAAATTGTTTTCAAGAATGGTTGGACCAGTTTTTTATTTTATTTTTGGGCCAGTTTACTATTCTACCTGTATATATCATGCCTGTTTTTTTTTCTTTTTCTTTTTTGGCAAGGGAATTGGGATTAAGTGACTTGCCCAGGGTCACACAGCTAGTAAGTGTCAAATGTCTAAGGGCAGATTTGAACTTGGGTCCTCCTGACTCCAGGCCTCTATCCACTTTGCCACCCAGCTGCTCCTCCTCTGTTTTCATAAGAGCCCCTCAGGTTTGACTGTTTTCATCTTTTATTATATTTGCCAATTTACTGTCTGTGAAGTGAAAGTATTTCTCGTAATTGATTTGGAACAATCTGTCATGAGGTGTTGATAATTTGCATCTCTTTTAAAAACTATTCATATCTTTTGACCATTCACCTATCAGGGTATTGGTCTTAGTTATGTATGACAATGATTTGAGGCTTTTCATTTCTTTTTCCTGAACAATGATTCTTCACCTTTTCCCACCTTTGACATCATTAAGGGTAATCATTGACTTAATTTGGAAGGTCTTACAGAGTTGTACATAGAATTTCTCTACCTCTTCATCTGGAGCAACTGATAATGTTACATAAACAGCAGCTAATTTCTTGGTGGTGTTTTTGCAAATACTTGTAAGTATTGTAGTAAGAGATGACCAGCTATCCCGTGATAATATTTCATTACCTTTAGGTATACAATAACAACCTACAATAAAACTAATGCCTCCAATTCCTCTCTTTGCCTCACCAGGAGTAACTGGCTCAGCACTCTCTTACTCTAATTCCATATTAACAGAAAGGTGGAAATTGACATTCCCCTATTCTGGCAGCATGTCCTGCTCATAGATCCTCGGACAAGGAGTTCACTTTTAGAGTACCAGTAGTTAAAGATAATTGGACATCCAAAAACTGTGATTCTTAGAGTCCTCTGTCACTGAAGAAACAGAAGGGGAACACAAAGGCTTGAGAGGCTTTTTCTTCATTTAATGCTGTAATATGAAAGTTGTAAATGAATGC